CTCATCCTAACACAGGGCTTCCCTTTGTATCTTTGTAAACTGCCATTTTCCTTTGTGCAAAGGCCATCTTCTCTCTATGCAGAGGCAGTGCTTTGTCCCTCCAGGAGAAATATCCCTGCCGCATTTCCCTTGGTACCTAGCTCTTCTCCCTCGTCCCCTATCTCCTGTCTCTGTCTATTAATCCCTGCCCTCTGTCCCTTTCCCTGTCCTCTGTCCCTCTGGGGCAAACAAATCTTTGTGCTGAGAAGTTGGTCTTGTGGGTCTTGACCAATACTTTTCCCTTCAGGTAGGTCTGTGGAACACTCACTACAGCAGAGGCCCTCTTTGCAGGCCAAGAAGCCGAACGGGGCATGACAAGTAATATTCAGCCCTCAGCTAGGTTTCCTGGTTTTCTTTTATCCCTTTCCGCCTTCATCCCTCAGTTTAGGGTCTCACTTTATATCCTTGGCTGTCCTGGAACTCACTGTGTGGAACAGGCTGGTCTCAACTTGTGTTGGTCACTTGCCTCGGCCTCCCAGCTGCTGGAATTACCGATGTGAACCCTCACGCTCAGCTTTCTCTTTTAGATTATTTATTTATTTATTTTTGAGGTGGAATCTCTGTGTAGCCCGAGCTACTAAGCAGACCAGGTACTTGCTAAGTAGATCAAACTGGCCTCGAACTCACAGAGATCCTCTTGCCTCTGACTCGGGTGTCCGCCAACTTATTACATTTCTTCTAATTGTATGGGTATAGATAGTTTGCCTAAATGTATGTCTATACACTATGTGCATGCCTGGTACCTAAGGAGATCAGAAGAGGGCATGGGATCCCCTGAAACTGGGGTTACAGATGGTTGTGAGCCATCATATCCGAACTGGGAATTGAACCTGGAACTTTTGAAAGAGCAGGAGTGCTCTTAACTGCTGAGCCATGTGTAGGTGAGTGTCTGTGTGAGTGCGTAGGTGCTGAAGGAGGTTTAAAACAGGATGTCTGAACTCTGGACCTCTGAAAGAGCAACAAGCACTTTTAACCTGTAGCCAACTTTTCAGTACCTATTTAATAGAGAAGATGCCAAGATCCTGGGGGCACTTGACTCAGATCCTGACCACCAGTAACAGTGGAGACCCTAAAGAAAAACAAATCAGGTGTGGCACCCCATATCTATAATGAATCTCTAAAGAAAAACAAATCAGGCGTGGCACCCCATATCTATAATGTCAACACTCAGGAAACAAAAGCAGCGGTATTGCTACAATCGCCATAGGGGACAATTGCCCATCTCTGCAGTTCTCTGATTCTCCACCTGCTCCTAGAATTCAAGGCGACAAGGTTTAGGGCAACAGCTGGATAGCTTTAGGCATCTTTGGGGAGTTTAGGATATAACATGGTTAAAAAAACAAACAAACAAACCGACAGCCAGATTCCTCAGGTGCTCTTGTGCTGTTAGCATTAAGGTCGATGGCATGGTCTCAGTGCCAAAGACTTCAGACTGACACTCCTGAGTGATTAGTTTACCTGTATCCTGAATCGAGCTGGTGGCCCAAAGCAGGGTAAACAGATGCAAGGTGAAGGCAGAGATTCTAGATACCCCACCCCCTCTTCTGGTTTGCAGATAGTCCAACTGAAGACTCCATGCCTTTTAGGAAAAGTTCTGGTATAGTCCAGTTTCCAAAGAAATTCTGGGCTACAAAGTGGGTTCCAGGCCAGCCTGGTCTACAGTGAAACCCGATTACAAAAAACCAAACCAAAAAGCAATAGGAAACAGTCACATTGGTGCACTTGTTCTCCCAGAGGAGCTGAGTTCAATTCCCAGCAGCCACATGGAGGCTCAAAGCTGTCGGTAACTCCAGTCCCAGGAGTCGGACACCCTCTTCTGGGTTCCATGGCGTGAATGTGGCTCACAGACACATATGCAGGCAAAATACCTGTTATATCTATTTATTTGCTTGGGTTTTTTTGGTTTTTTTTTTAGAGGTAGGATTTCTTTTTTAAAATGGATTGGATGGATAAATATTGGCACAGGCATTCTAACAAAGCGGTCTTTGTTAGATTCAAAGCAATCCCTATCAAAACCTTCATACTGTCTACTAGAACTGCACAGATTTGAAACATACAAAACACTTGGAAAACATACAAAGTTGGAGGACTTAGGCTCATGTGAAAATATAAACAGCCGATAAAACAAGGCGACCTATAAAAACAACATAAGTATGGTGCTGACATAGATGAAAAATAAACCAAAGTAAAAGATTACAGAACAATGAGTATTATCAAATGTCCACTTCTACGGTCACACGATTCTGACAAGCATAGCAAAACCACACCGGGGGAGCGAGGGGAACAGTCTCTTGGGCCAATGACGGTGGGAGAACTGCATGAGCACGCATGTTCGGGTGTTATTGTCCATCATATACAGCACTGAACTCAGAATGAAGTAAGGAGAAAAAACGCCACCACTGTAAATTCCTGTAAGAAAAGCTAGGAAAGCACTAACGAGATTGTATTTGCCGCTGACTCGTTGGGCGTGGCATGAAAAGCACGGTGACGACATAAGTAGGCGACTGAGGCTCCGGGAATGTTGAAGGTGTATTTCAGAGGTGAGAGTTGAGAATGAATGCAGAACTACCACTTAGGCTGAGGAGCTGGCGGGCAGTCCGGGAGTGCATTTCTCGGGAGACCCGCAGGGTCTCATAGGTCACATATTAATATTCTTCTCTTCCGAAACCTCTTGAGCCAGCCCATCCCCCCACAGTTCAAGTCATCCTCAGCACCATTGTCGTCCATGTCCCTGCTAATACGGCTCAGTAATCAGCACTTAAAGTGTCCAACTGCTTTTTCTAATCCACAATCCCAAAGCCCATAATCCTTCAAACAAAAATATGGTCTGGCCGATCACAGCAATACCCCAGTCCCTAATACCAACTTCTGCCTTAGTTAGGGTTTCTATGGCTGTGAAGAGACACCATGACCATGGCAACTCTTATAAAGAAAAACCTTCAACGGGGGACTTACATTTTCTGTGGTTTAGTTCATTATTACCGCAGTGGGGCATAATGACATGCAGGCAAACATGGGCTGGAGCTGAGAGTCCTATATCGTGCTGGCATCAGGAAGTGAACTGAGACACTGGGCAGTTATCTTGAGCATATATGAGAACTTGGTATCTGGTTGTACAGTGACACACTTCTTCTAACAAGGTCATATATACTCCAACAAAGCAACACTTCTAAATGGTGCCACTCCATTTGGGAGCCATTTTCTCTCAAAGCATCCAACACCCATATACATAAAAGAAGAATAAATAAATCTTTTTTAAAATCACATTTTAATTGTCTTAATTAGTTTTATGTCAACTTGACACAGCTAAAGTCACCAGAGTGGGGGGACCCTTAGTTGAGAAACTACCTCCGTAAGATCCAGCTATGTGGAATTTTTATAATTAGTGATCAGTAGGGGAGGGCCCAGGCTATTTTGAGTGGTGGCCATACCTGGACAGGAAGGTGATCCTGGGTTTGATAAGAAACCTGGCCGAACAAGCCATGGAGAGCAAGCCAGTGCGCAGCACCCTTTAATGGCTTCTGCATCAGCATCAGCCCTGTGTGAGTTCCCTCCCTCTTTGTTTTGATGATGAACTGTTATGGAATTGTTTTGGTCATGGTGTTTCATCATAGCAATAGTAACCCCAATAAAGACACTAATGTACTAGATGATAGGACCTCAACACATGACTTGGGTGTGGGTGGAATGGCAGTCAATTCACTTGAGTATCAGCCGACTTGCCTGCTATTTTAAAAATTTGTGTGTTTGAATATTTAACATCGTGTATGACTGTGCGTGCTTGCCCAAGGAATCCAGAAGACGATAGGGATGGTTGTGAGCCACCATGTGGTTTTTGGGGACTGAACCCAGGTCCTTTACTGGAGCAGCGAGTGCTCTTAACTACTGACTCATCTGTCCAGGGTTGGAGGCCCTGCTGGTCAGAGGTTGCAGTCTACCATAGCGTAGCAGCCTTTCCTGGGCTAGGCACCACCTGGAGGACTCCCTCCCTGCAGGGTCTTCCTGATCTCTGCCTAACCTTATCGAATACTGTCTCTAGGCCCCTATGCCTGACTTACCTCAAGGATGACCCTTGATGCAGTCCCTCTGCTGCCCACATGGTAACTAGGTAACGTGCTCTCTCCATTTTCATAGGGCTGTGCTGCCACTAAGTCAACTTTAGGACAGGATCCTGACCCCTTATGCAAATTAGGGGATCATCCCCCCAGTCTCTCTCCCCATCCTTTCTATCTCCCCTCCCTCAGTGTCACCGGTCACCTCCTGAAAGGCTGTTTCCTTCATCCAAAGCTCTGTCATCACTTCTGCCCCTTTGTCTTTGTCCCTGAGGACTGGTGGCCAACAGACACCAAGGGAAAAGGGGACTCCACATCCAGGTCTGATCCTCCAACTTATTTTGTTTTGAGAGACAGGATCTCACTATGTAGACCTAACTGTATGGAGTTCAACATGCAGAGCAGGCTGGTCTCAAATTTACAGAGCTCCAAATGCCAACGCTGTTAAGTGCTGAGATTAAAAGCATGAGCCACCATGCTGGGCTAATTCTCCTACTTTCAAAGATGAATATGAAGGTGCTGGAGAGATGGCTCAGAGGTTAAGGGCACTGGCTGCTCTTCCAAAGGTCCTGAGTTCAATTCCCAGCAACCACATGGTGACTCACAATCATCTATGATAAAATCTGGTGTCCTCTTCTGGCATGCAGGCAAACATGGAGGTAGAACACTGTACACATAATAAATAAAATGTTTTTTTTAAAAAAAAAACCCTAATATGGATCCACCATTATCTTTCTCCAACTTCCTACACCTCGACTCCTTCCTTTTGCTTTCTCAATAGTGATGCGGATTTCAGCGACTTCATGGGAGACGGAAGCAGAAGTCACTGACCTAATTTCGTGCAGCTAGTTCCCACTGGTTATGTAGGAGTTATGTGCACCCGAGGACCATGGGCGGAGCCACCTCTGTAAACCCTGGTTTCTCTTCAGAGCCTATAAATCTTTCGCCTTTTTCTAAAGATTTCCGTGGAGAGGAACAACTCTGAGTCATAGCCCAGTTTTTAAAAATGAATATAAAAAAAAATCAAAGTACACACCTAATCTGGCCATGTTTTTAATTTTAGAGTTTTCCTTTCCTTCTTTCTTAAAATATTTATTTATTTATTATGTATACAATATTCTGTCTGTGTGTATGCCTGCAGGCCAGAAGAAGGCACCAGACCCCATTACAGATGGTTGTGAGCCACCATGTGGTCACTGGGAATTGAACTTAGGGCCTTTGGAAGAGCAGCCAGTGCCCTTAACCTCTGAGCCATCTCTCCAGCCCCTCCTTCTGTTTTATGTGGTTCTCCTCACCTCCTTTTTTTGGAGACATAATCACTGTGTATATCCCAGGCTAGCATAAACTTTTCATGTAGACCACCATGGCCTTGAATTCATGCAATACTTCTGCCCCGGCCTCTTGAGCTGCTTTCAAGCTTCCCTGTGGCTTCCTGGTGCCTTGGAGGTAGATCTCAGGTTTACCAACTTTGCTCTTCTGGATCTGCTAGGCCTGGGCTCGGTGTCCCAGCATTCTGTTATCTCCACTGAGGCCACATCCTGTGTCCCTGGGCAAGCCCAGCTGGTGCTCAGCACATTGTGTACAGTGAATGCATCAAGACCATTCGCAAGTCTTTATTTATTTTGTGACAAGTTCTTTGTTACACTACCTGGCCTGGAACTTGTACAACAGGTTGACCTCCAGTCAGACAGATTTACCTGCCTTTGCCTCCAAGTGTTGAGAATCAATGTGTGGACCACCACACCCAGCTCCCCAATGTGTGTGGATCATATCTGCACTGGCTGGTTTTGTGTGCCAATTTGACAAGTTAGAGTCATCAGGAGAAAGGCTACTGAGGTGATGCCTCAATGAGATCCAGCTGCAAAACAATTAATCGTTTAGTGATCAACGAGGGAGGGACCAGCCTGTGGTGGATGGTGACATCTCTGTGCTCTGGGATCTGTGAGAAATCAGGCTGAGCAAGCCATGAGTGCAAGCCAATAAGCAGCTCCCCTCCATGGTCTCTGCATCAGCTCCTGCCTCCAGGGTCCTGCCCCGTTTGAGTTCCTGTCCTGACTTCCTACAGTGAGGAACGGCAGGACAGAATGAAGTGTAAGCCAGACACACCCTCTCCCGACTTGCTTTTGGTCATGGTGTTTTGCTACAGCAATAGAAACCCTAAGACACCATCCACCCACCATTACCCTCCTCCAACTTACTACACCCCGACTTCCTCCCACCTCATGTTCTTTTATTTTACTTATTGTTTTGTTGTTATCACGTGCTTATTAATAACCTCCTGAGCCCAATTAGTGCTGCCCAAATTCGTATGGATGTGGAGTCCTCCTGGGCAGAAGCAACACACCACAGTCTCCCTCCCTCAGTAGCCATCAAGTGTCAATCGCTCCCTCTCAAAGGGTGGGGGATCAGAGATCCCTCCTCGAAAAGTCAGACTTTGTGGTGGTCCATATACTCCCGTACACACGGCTTTTGTCCTGCCCTCTGATGGGGGTTCACAGCTAGCACAGGGATAAAGGTGGCCTTTTGGAAACCTGTCTCTCTACTCCACATCGTTTACATACCCACAATGCATTGCTCACAGCTCGCGCTTCCATTTAAAAGTGTAAACTCTTTCACTTTGTTTCTTATCCTTTTGTTTTCTCAATAGTGAAGCGGCTTCCAAGAACCTTCATGTGAGGCGAAAGCAGAAGTCAATGACCACTAATTTTGTGTACCAAACACCCATTGGTTATGTAGGACTTACCTGCGGCCGAATACAATGGGCGGAGCCTCCACAGGCCGTATAAATCGCCTTTTACTAAAGATTTCCGAGGAGAGAAACAACTCAGAGTCTTTAGACAATTTTTTGAGGTCCTGCCTATGCAGGGCTGGCTAATCTTTCGGTCTTCCATAATACTGTTTAGTGGTCTGTATTATAGAATATCTCAAAATATCTTAAGATATCTTCTACCTCAGACAGGCCTTTTGTTCTTGCCAGTCTCAATCTGTTCATACTAATTGGAGGCAATCAAGTTGACCGAGATGGTGCTAGGGAGACAGATTTCTGTGTGTGAATTCAAGGCCAGTCAAGACTACTTAGAAATACCCCTTCTCAAATGCTAAAGAAAAAAGGCAGGTTTGGAGGCCCTAAGTCGTGTGATATAATTTTATAAACTCTCTACTCTTTCCCTCTTGACATTCTAAAATTCCAACCAAGGAGATGGTGAGAGGGGTCAGTGGCCAAGCGTGCTTACTGCTCTTGCAGAGACCAAGTTCAGTACCTCCACCCTGCTTTTTCTGTGTGATACCTCTGGCTGATCTGAAACTCGTATTATAAGCCAGGCGGGCCTCGAACTCACAAAGATCACACCGCTTCTGTCTGCTGAGTGCTGGGATTAAAGAAGTGCCATCACATCCAGCTTTTTTTTTTCCTTCAACAGTTTCCATGTGGTGACTACAACAATTTGTAGCTCCATTTCCAAGGGGATCTGATACCCTCTTCTGACCTCCATGGACATCAGGCACACATGTATATATGCAGGCAAACAGACAAAAATGAATAATCTTTAAAAATAAAGAGACCCTCAAGCCCTTGAGTACAGTCTTATGTAGTCCATTGAATCCTTTGTGACATCTTTCTTTGAAAAAAATTTTTATTTTAGATGTGTATGTGCCTGATGTATACATTTGTATTATGTGCATGCAGGGACCAGAAGATTGTTGTGAGCCTCTAGACATCATATTTCTGATTTATATTATTGCTTTGCTGTTGAATAACGTTTTCTTTCTACTTTGTAGAGGAAGAGAGAGAGGGTAGAAGAAATAAACAAGAAGTACCTCCAAGGGAGGACTCCTATAATGCCACATGGTGGCTTCTGTGGCACCATTGGGTGTGTTTACTAATGTTCTTCTCTTTCCTTCTGTCCCTGTTGATTCAACCTTCTGGTGAGGTTGGTGCGTTCAGCCTGCAGGCCATCGATCTTGAAGGTCTGTGTTATCTCAGAGCTCTCCCCCACCACAGAGGGCCTTCTGACCCCTAAGTGATGTCGCATTCTGGCCCTTGAGTCCCCTGAGACCCATCCCCCTTGAGCGCCTGAGTGTGAGTAGCCATTGAAGATGTGCACAGCACAAGCTGAGCTGACCTGGCCTTCAATTTCTTACAGTACCACTGCTACCCAGTGCCCTGCGCTCGGCCTCACCTGCAAGAACCACGCGGGACACAGGATCCTACTGCAGAAATAGCTTTAATGCCCCTTGGGAGAGCGAGCATCAGCCAACATGGCGGAGACCCAGATATGAAGGAAGCCATCCCTTATATATGAAACAGTCCTAGCTTCGGACGTGTCATTCTTGGATTGGTCAACTGCTCCCAGTCCCAGGTGAATGCCTCGGGAGTAGGCGGGGACAGCAGTGGTGGAAAGTTACCGAGCACATGTGCGTTCACCTGGTGGTGAAGCCGGATGTCAGCGCCATCTTGATGATGGAGAATGTGGCTTCGGCCTTCTACATCTCCCCCTAATTTTACTTCTTTGCAGAAAGGCAACTCCCTCGGAAGGTAAAGATAGAGGTCGCATTTCCCAAAATAGAAACATTAAAATGGGCTTACACGGAATCTGCCCCTAGGTTCATGACACCTGGAACCTATCCGGCCTGCCCTCTGCCATTTTTCTGGGAAAGGGGATATACGGCAGGAAACCCTTATGTAGGGCGACTTATCTTTCAGAGAGGGCCATTCTCTGTGCGATGCTTTTTAGCTCCACAACCTTCAGGGCTAGCTAAGCCAAGCATTCCACCCTGTGCCATGGACCACAGTCCTAGGGGTGCAGGAGCTGGTTGGCTTAAACCTTACTGCTTTAACAAGATAACCACATGTCAAAAGAGGCTCCCTGTTCCAGGGCAGCCAGCGCTGGTGCCACAACCACTTCGTCCCTAAGACTTTGGGATTTGAGTCAGCAGACCATCCAGAGGAGAAACACTATTTCTTAGCATAGGACTGTTTTAAACATTCCAACCCCCACCCATTCTTTGAAGTAGGAGATGAAGGACACAATCCAGGACTGGAATTCTTCGGTCAAGCTTATGTCCATTCGCGTGGAGTTGATTGTCATGATGGACCGTCTCAAGGAGGACAGCAAATCATCAAAATTCTCCTGCAAGATATAAAGACAATTCTCGGGACAAGTTAGCCACTTTTATAAAGTTTTTATATGGTACATTGGTCATATATAAGGCTGGAGTTTTCCATTCACAGTCCAATTGGGCAAGCTGCCATAAGATATCTACCTGTTTTTTATTTTACCTCTAATAGATGTATCTATGGTAGCCTGTTGATCCAGGGCTGTAGCCACTGTGGTAGATAACTGATTGAGGGTCTCTGTTTTTTATGATATAGGCCGTGCTGCCCCAGTGGCACCTAGGAAAAACCCAGGCCCTGTTTGTTGATATTAGATTTAAGATTTATTGGCTCCCGTATTTCTTGTCGGTATGGTGGCCTCGGGCTCCAGAGCCCGCCCGCCATCCAAGGGCTGTGTGCGGCCCTGGGCCTGCTCGCTGCGCGGATCCCCGTGTCCCAGGCCAGGAAGTGGCGGCTCCACCCCCAGGCGCCCCCGCCTTCCCTGCGGGGCCAGCCCAGTCCTCCGCGGCTGTGTTGGTGGGGAATGCGGGAGCCGACACCCAGACCGAGGCGGCAACATCTCAAGGTCCGCGCCAGAGCCGCTGCGGCTCAAGGGGCTGATGGGAGAGGCGGCGACCAGGGCCGCTTTCCTATTAGCCAACTCTCAACACCTGTGCTGTAAGCGGCTGTAAACTCTCACAGATCCAGCCAACGACCCAATCACCCCAAAATCCAAGGGCCCTTCGCATCCACCTCCCTGCGGATCCCGAAACACCAGACAAGCCAAGCGTATACACAGCAATCTTTTAGGAGGACTTGAGTTCTTAAAATGCTAAGCAGTTCTTAAAAACTTAAGTCGCACTATGTAGATGTAATACGGTACTGCCTGTTTACTGCGTCTAAACCTTAATTGCGCTTTTATTATAATTACGACCAGCCCTGCCTGAAGTCAGCATCGTTTAGCATAGCCAAATGGAACCAGAGCCATTTAGCCTCAGAGACCCTCACAGTCCCAGGTACACTGTAAGCCCTCTGGCCCGGCTGCCTGTGGCACCGCTCTCATTCCCGGCACCTCCAGGCCAGGCACCAACTGAGCCGGCGCAGCGTGCCTCCCACCATAGCCACAGAGCAAAGCTCCGCTCCAGCCGCCCTCCAGCCCCAGCTGCACCCACTCCGAGCCCAAACCAGTGTACGGAGCAAAGCGGAACTCAGAGAAGCAGGCTTGCTGCTCTGCAATCACTGAAAGGACCTTATTTAATCTTTTAGGGAATTTGGGCGCCGTTAATCTCTTTGGCTGCTTCCTGCTGAATTGGGCCGCTGTATTTTAGGGGTAAACACTATAACATTTCAGAAGGTCTCGGTGATTCAAACCACATAAATCCCAAGTACACCTTTAGGCTCTCATTTTCTGTGGAGACGAAAACAGAACCTCTTTTCCAAAACATCATATCCTTAGCAGTTTCTAAATTTAAATATCTTTCTCCTGTCCAGTACACAACAGACAACACACATAACATAACATAAAGCTTTTGACCTTGTAAATCAGCCTTCTCCCCCATTTTTACTTTTTTAGAATTACTGGGGGGTCCTTTTTAACTTATCTGGGTGTGCGCGCATAACTTCCCATTGCTGCTCAGTTTTTGATATGTTTTTTGGACTTTAGAGCGTATCTCTCTGAGCATGTATGTTTGTAGTTTTGAATCCTCCTTGTGTCCAAGGGGTCTCCGGCGGTGTAAAGTTTTTTTTCTTCTTCCCCAAAATGCCACTCAAGCCTTTAATACTGTAGGATCCTACACCCTAGGATGAATCAGGGTCCCCAGGCCCCTGTCCCCAAGAACCTGTCTCCATATGAAATAGTGTGCTGGGTCAGGGGGAGATATCTTGGACCTACACTAATGATTTTATTTGCCCTTTGTGTCAGGGGACCATGCTGAGATAAAAGGCCCAACTCCTAATGACCCGTCGCACCGTACCCCACATGACAAACAGGACGACTGGTGCTGCTGTAATTTCACCTCCTAAGACGGTGAGGTGTCCATTTGGCTACCCAGATATGGACCCATCACAAATGGCAGAGGAGACAGGACCAAGTCAGTCTCTTACGTTATTAAAAGCAAGCCAGCCAGCAAGCAAACAATCATAACTCCCCACCCCCACTCACCCAGAGATGGAATTCTCTCTGGGAAAATTTGTCTTTCCAAGTCCCAGCTTCTGCTGCAGCATATTTCCTTTTAAAATGCTAATTACTTGTCAGGAATGGTACAGGTGTCCTTTAATCCCAGCGCTCAGGCAGGTGAATCTCTGAGTCTGAGGCCAGCCTGTTCTACAGAGTGAGTTCCAGGACAGCCAGTGCTGTTACACAGAGAAACCCTGTCTCCAAAAAGACCACCAAACAAACAAAAGAGAAAACTGTTCTAGTTGGCTTTGGCCTCTTGCTCTGCAGCTTGTCACAACACCACAGGGCATGTGTGAATGACACGTGTGAATTTGGGGGATGGTGAAAGGGAGTATCAGGTCACCCGAATACGAAGCTCTGGGTTTCTTGATATTCTGCCTAACTCAACCTTTTACATATACAGATGTGCTGCTCTTAAGTAATTAACTAAATTTGTTATTAATTCTCAAGTAATTAAAGTAGTAAGCGCCTGTCTTACTGCTGCAACTGTGGCTCCTGCTGGCCAATCAAGATTATTATACCTACAACAATTTTCTGAAAAGTTTAAGGGAGGTAAGTTAATTTGATTAATAAATAAATAGATAGATAGATAAGTACATTT